TTTAACGTTACGACCTGGAACTAGGGAACGCCTGCAGTGCCTTGCGAAAACATTCGGCCCCCTTGAACTTTCCAACCTTTTGCCACTTTGAAAATCTGTTGGAGTCTGCAAAAGACCTGAGACTGGGACGGAGATTTATCTTCCAACAAGACAATGATCACAAACATGAAAGCAAAATCTACAATGGAATGGTTCACAAATAAACGTATCCAGAATGGCCAAGTCAAAGCCCAGACCTGAATCCAGTCGAGAATCTGTGGAAAGAGCTGAAAACCGCTGTTCACAAGCGCTCTCCGTCCAACCTCACTGAGCCTCACTGAGCTCCAGCTGTTTTAAGGAAGAATGGGCAAAAATTTCAGACTCTTGATGTGGAAAACTGACAGAGACAAACAACAAGCGACTAGCAGCTGTGACTGCAGCAAAAGCCAGCGCCACAAAGTATCAACGCAAGGGGGCCGGATAATATTGCACGCTCCACTTGCAGTTTTTGATAACACTTTATTTGAAGGGGCGTGCATAATACTGACATGACACTGTCATGAACATGATGTAACATCTGTCATGAACATAAAAAAGTCTTTATGAATGTTTATGACTGTTGTCATGAAGTGTCATTCGGTAAATAATGACACTTTTAATGCAAAGTTGCTCTAAAAGTTGCATTAAAAGTCCATTAAAAATGCCAACTTTGCATTAAAAGTGTCATTACTTACTGAATGACACTTTATGACAACAGTCAAACATTCATAAAGACTTCCTTATGTTCATGACAGGTGTTATGTCATGTTTTTGACAGTGTCATGTCAGTCTTATGCACACCCCTTCAAATAAAGTGTTAACCAGTTTTTTATTCATTAAAAAAAGTTTAAAATATCCAATAAATGTCGTTCCACCTCACAATTGTGTCCCACTCGTTGATTCTTCACAAAATAATACACATTTTTAGATCTTTATGTTTGAGAGCCTGAAAAGCGGAAAAACGCTGAAAAGTTCAACGAGCACCGCATACTATACCAGAAGTGCTGCGAGCGATGGCGAAAGTAACGGTCCGAAAGTACGGAAAGTACAATTTTACAATAGAATAAAAAAAATACACTGCTATAAAAAAAGTATTCTCTACAGATTTCCTCTATTTTTAATCAGACAAAGATAACCTGAGTAAATACAAAGAGCACTTTCCAAATTATGGTTTAATTAATCGTGGAACAAAGTTGCCAATGCCATCGACGTTTAAATTAGATGATTAACTGCATGAACTCAATTTTTTTCATGATGCACATCAAGGTCGTATCACTGTAGAATCACGAATTTACCTAAACAGAAGTTGTCGCTACAAAGTAGGCTAAAAGATCTGAGAATGCGACGCATTTTTCTGCGATCTATAAATGACTAATGAAAAATAAGATGAAAAAATAATAATTGAGACGTATTAAGAAAAAAAAGTTGAAGCCATTTTTCATAGAGTTTTCTTGTCTGGGAAAATACAGCGAGACAAAATTATCCACAAAGCACTGAAAAGCACATTGTACCAATTAATACAAGATTTATTTAGTGGCAACCGCAAGACAGAGTAGCTGTAAACACCTGAATCCAAATGGCTGCCCAACGATTTGCCAGATCATTTTAATCACCATTAGCAGTCACTTAAATACGTTTATGCAGCTCTAAAATCTGATTTTTTCCCCTTTACATATTTTTTTTTGTTCTAGCAATGAATAAATGCATGAATAATTCATTAATAAAGCACTTTTCACAGACGCATCCACAAAGTGCTGTACCAGATATGAAGATCATAAAAATATAAACCACTGTACAAAAGAGCATAAAGACAGGAGGAGACAAGCTAGTAAAGCTTGAAAATCATAATAAATAAATAAATAAAATATTATGAAATCAAAGCAGATAAGTGTTAATGCTAGTTTAATGCTTGCCAAGTGCCTGGACAAACAGAAATGATATTTAAAAGAAACTAGTGATTCAACCAAATGCATCTGCGGAGACATGTTGTTCCACCCCCTGAGGTCACAACCTGAAAAGCTCGATATCCTTTAATTTTCAGCTTTGTATGGGGAATGACTAATATGTAGGAAATGAAAAGAGAGAAAACTGAGTCTTTAGTCAGAGGATTAGACTGAAATTCTTGTGCCAAACCATTCGCCGCTTTAAATCCGAGCACTACTATTTTAAAATGAACGCTGAACGCCACAGGAAGCCAGGCTAATACATATAAAACAGCTACATGAGAATGTTTTACCAACCGGCATTTTGCAGCATTTTCGATGGCTTGCACATGCTTTAGTCGTGTCTTTTGTGATAACATTAAACAAATCCATAAATAAGTTGTTTCTACTTCACTGAATGGAGCAAAAATGTTTGAGTTTCAGGACAGGATGGTGAGATGGATTTAAGAATCCAGTATTAGGTTGGAATCAAAACACTGGACTCAGTGGATGTACAGAGTAACACATGTTTGGCTAATAATGTAAGAGCATTTGTCAGGTGATGATAGTATCACTTTTTCTGTTTTACTGGGAGATAAATGTGAGTCAGACGTATCAAAGTTGATATGCTAACAAACTTAAGTGGTTTAAAAGAAAAAAAAAACTGTAAATCATAAATGCAAAATCTAAACAAAACAAACAGTCACGTTGAATAAATTGGGATTGATGTTCTGAGTAGGCTTAAACCTTTTAGGAGGGATGAAACATACCTCTAGCTCACATTTGTGTATCTTTTGCTTTTAAATATTTTAATCTTATAAGATATTAAACCTCATCTTTTTAATAGCTGTTAGCAGAAAGTCAGTAGAGGATATTTTTTGAAGGAGAAACTCCTTTAAAAAAAAAAAAAAAAACAGGAAATATCTGCAAGTCGTTCAGCATCATGAGTAAAACTCTGCGGTCCACCGCATCAAATGTTGCAGTGAAGTGAAGTGGCACAAGCAGAGAGCAGAGAACATTGTACTGACAGTCAAATCTGGTGGTAGAAGAGTGATGCAGGTTTGCTGCTTGAGGACTTGTACAGCTTGCTGTAAATCATCATCAGTGAGTTCAGCTACCAGCGAATCCTGAAGGAGAGAGACTGGCAACGAGCTCCCCGTCTTCACCTCCATAAGTATGGAGGCCAAGTTAAAGTCTGGATTTAAATCTGAATGAGATGATGTGGTTCAATGTCACACAAGTAACTCTCTAATATCAGCGAATTAAGGCTAGTTATCTAGGAGGCAAAGAAAATTGTGCAAATATTCCTCCACTGGAATTTTAAAAAACACTATTTTGTATCAGGTGGTGGCTTCTTTTTCACATAGGGCCAGGTTAGTGCATTTTTTAAATTAATTATATTTCATAATCTGAAATATTAATATTTAATGTTACAAAAACCAGAAGAAATCTGTAAAACAGAAAACATGTTTTAACGATTTAACGACCAGGCATTTCTTCAAAAGTCTCCAGTACCAAGAGCTGGGCGGCTCTTCGAAGCTGTAGATGGTTTTCCACTGTCTTGACGCCAAATCTTAGAAATATATACATATATTTTTTTTCCAAGAAAACCTACAGGTGGATCGTTGCACAGCCAGCAAACAAACTCTTTTCACACAGAAGTAACAATTGCCTCTCAAGATGCACAGATAACCGTCTTGTCCTAGCAGGAAACCAAAGAGAAGACGCCAGCCGGAGACGCCTCTAAGTGGAAACGCCTCGGTGGCTGAACGTTGCCAATCAGAGGCAATTACTGCATGTTATGCAGCGCAACAGCTCGACACGACTGTAAATAAATTCCCAGCGTGGACAATCTGTTTATGAGAAAGGCTGCTGCCCTTATCAATGGTTCTGTCTACCTCAGCAGCCTGTCCAGTGATATTAAGCTCCTTTTCAAAGCTTGAGCGGAAAGGCGAAGGGTTGAAAATGTAAATAGACACAAGCCTGAGGGGATTCTGTGGGAGCACAACCCACATAACGATCTGTCAATTTAATAGCGTGTAGGAGAGTAAGAGTAGAGACAGCGAGAAATGTTTTCTTCCCCTGCCCATTAATAGCCGCAGAAATCAGATTTATAGTTGTTTGGCGCCTGTCATTAACTGGCTGGAAATAAATAGGCATGTGTGTACTGGGTTGCATTTTTGATCCAGAGGGGTGGTCAGAGCCTGTAAAAAAAAAAAAAAATCATTTTCTATTAGTTACCACCATCTGTTAGATTTGCTCAAAGGGTGAATGTTTCATTTGGTGCTGAGTACAATCCAATACTAGCGTGAATGTTATCCTGCCACACCTCCGTAACAAAAACCACAAACAATGAAGTATTTCTGCCTGTGCACACACTAAAAAGGAAGCAGTTAAAATAAGTCCTCGCCTTCAAACTTGTTTGGTTTTCTAAAAAAAAGAAAAAAAAAAAAATCAGCTGCTTTTCCCAACAGAGACAGGCCGTTGGGGTTCAATACACCGCGACACCAATTAGTGGATAAATAATGGCGCGGCCAGCAGGAGCTTTTCCTGCAGAGTCTTCCCCACCTCACCGGTCTCCCTGGAACCAGCCGATCAGAGACGCTTTTCTTCACGGCCTGAAATCTAAGATCGGAGGGCGGCACTAACTCATCAACACACGCGTTTCCTGGCCACAGCGTTGGGCGAAGCGCTCAACAACCGGGACACGTTACTAGCTCTGGTCATCTGAGGCAGCACCGAGACTCGTCTTTCTCGCCTCCCGCAGCGCGACAGGAAAATAGTCATTTTTAAAATATACATACTAAATCCGATTCTGCTGATCTGACTTCGGCGAACGCGAGAAGGAGGAGCAGAAGAGAAGCCTTTAAGGCTTAACCAGCTTTCTTCAGAGGGAGAATTTAACAAGATCTGCAGCCAAAATAATAATAAAAAACAAAGCGTGTGCGAGGTAGAGATCTCCAGTTTGCCCCCCCAAGAAGGAGTGAAAACCGTTGATGAATCTACCTTTTAAAAGCAGAGCAATTTCACAACAAATACGACTGTAATGATTGAGCTCACCCGTGCAGCTCTTTGAGGGAAACGGAGATCTTGACATCGTGTCCAAGCACGTGGAGAGCGGTGAGAATGTCGGCCCATTGCACCATCTCACCCAGAGGGCCGCCCTTCAGCACCTTGGGACTGAAAACGTCTCCAGACTCCTCGGTCAGAAAGCCCACATGGACTAAAATCTGAAGAAAAAGAAAAAGAAAGAAAGCTACTAAAAATTGAGTTCGCGCAGATCACAATGTCTTATTTTTTCAGGTCCAATCAACATTTTAATCAATTTTTGAGGTAAGAAAAATAACTACATTTGATTGACAGAGGAGTAGATACATGTATGGACAAATTCGAATAATACGAATATCCTATAATGACTCATATTCGTATTTTCCAGGTATGGACGGCTGTCCATACCTGGAAAATACGTTAATCAAACTGAAGAGTTTTCCTGACTCCTCCATTTTCCGAGACAGAAAAAAAAAAAAAAAAAAAAAAAACAGCCATCCTCGCAGTTTCACAGTTTATTTTCTCTGTTTACTGACACTGGACCAGATTAGAGTCAAACAGAATTAAGATATCAAACACGACTCACTGGTCACGTTTTAATTTAATTGTGACTCTCAGAGAAGTGGGGAAAAAATGCAGACTGATTAGTTTTTTCCTACTCCAACTCCAAGAAAACAAGATCAACTCTCCATGAATCTGAAATAAAAATTGACCCGTGGAGCGCTAATTTCTTCACACAGTGATACATGAGCAGTTTAATTGCTGATGGGGAAGGATGCAATTCCCTGCTTGTTAAATATTTAATGAAATTAGACTTTTAACAGATGTTGGCACCTTTTTTTTTTTTTTTACTCCACAGTCACACATTTGTCTCAGATAAACTTTAGTAAACAGTCACAGGGGAATGTTCTCTTTCAGTTTGGATATGAAGTTCAATAAATCTTGAAAATCTCTCAGCATTAGTCACTGCCACAACAGTGCAAAACACAAACGGGGAAAAATAAAACGTGGCCGCTCTCTGAACTGGTTTTCATCATCCAATGTGATATTTGTCAATTTTATTTCTCCATTCGTTGGCAAGAACAGCCTCCTCTACATTTTTTTTTTTTTTTATGTTGTCCCACAAACATACCCGGAAATATTTATCAAACTGTCTAAGCAATATAAACTTCAGCTCTTCACATTTTTCTTAAATGGTCCAAATGAATTTATTAAATTTAATGTTAATAAAACATTTATACTGATAATTATTTTTGTCAAATGATTTTCATGTATGTAAAGGAATAATCTTCAAAGATCAGCATTAGAGAACTTCAAAGTCTAGTTCTGTGCCAATTGAGTATGAATTATTCGAAGATTATTCACACTTTTTTTTTTTGACAAGGAGCGATAACTACTGAAGAGGTTAGTGGTAGGGGCAATGAAAAATGTTGGGTGAGTAGTTTAGGCTACATAAACTTGGCAAGGTTTTATGGAAATCCTCATCACTGTGTGTAAGACTGACTTGCTTTCTTCTTTGGCTCAGTTTCTGTTGTTTAATGCTTTTGAATTGTTGCTCTGATCATAAAAGCGCAAAGTTTAAGCAAGTAGCAGTCTTCTGAAAGGAAACGGGTCTTTGAGCCAAATCATATGGATACATTGAGAGGGAAGAAGTCACTTATTACTGAAGTTAAACGATCTGTTGACATGTACATCCAACAAAAGGAAGCTTGCCAGATTGAAGACACCATCCACAAGATTTCCCCCAGAAAACTTGCCAACCCCTCAAAACTTATTCGTGTTTTTGAGTTAAAAAATGTTTAAAGTTGACAGGAAATTTTTAAATAGCACTTGATAATTATGCGTTATTGGAAGATTGGAAGATTAACATCAGAACAACAACTATAAAGTCTTAAAAAATGCAAACATTTTCAAAGAAAGAAAATAAATAAGCAATGCTAAGCCTGGTGGGGGCACAAGTAAAGCCTGGTGACCCGCCAGGCTTATAATACACTGAGGGTTGAAAGCATCATGTGGTTAGAGTATTTTGCTTTTGGTTGGACTGGTGTTTTTTACACTGTGCAAGGTATTATGAGGAAAAAAACATTACGTGGAAATAATAAAACAACACCTGAGTTGTGGCACAAATCACCAGATTTCACGCCGTATGTAAATACCTGGTTTCCAATCATGTTCTGACAAGTAAGTTTAATATTTCAATATGCTAAAAATTGAGTTTTTAGCATATTGAAAAGCAAAAACTTCTCAGTGTTGCTGTTATAATTTTAACAATAAATAAATAACTATTGACATCTTACCTCAGATCCAGCCTAACCAATAAAAGACAAAAAATGTGAAAGTTTTTATACATAATTTAAAGGATTATGTTCACAAGTTCTGTTATTTTAAACATCTTTCAATGCACACAGGAAGCAAAGTGATCTATGGTAGGAGGAAGCTAATGATGACAGATAAAGTGTGTGTCCATGTTGGACTGGCGTATTTCACAGCGCAGATAGATGTAGATCTCGGTACAAACATGGCTGTGATGTTTACAGCCATGTTTATGATGTGTTTAATGAGCTGCAGCTGACCAAAAAAAAAAAAAAAAAAAAAAGTCACTAAAGCTGCAAGCAGATGTATGTGCAGCACTTTTTCAAGGTTAACATTTGTTTTGATTGCATGCTATAAAACTTAAAGTCAGAGCATTTACAATTGCTTGACTGGAGATGGAGGAGTTTCCAGGGAGTCTAATAAGACTCAAAGCTGGATGTCCGTCTCGGTTATGTGAGCCGTTTCGCTCATTGTAAAGCGAACCTGGCATTAACGAGAAATCAAGGAAAAATGTCTTCCTTTAGGACTTCTGGTTTTGGAAAACATCGTAGAGCAGATAATGAACATTTTGCCAGCGTAGACAGAGGCAGATGATTTGTTCTTCCAGACATCAGCCTCTCACCACAGGAATATGATCACTTATAATCAAGTCAAGTCATATGACTCAGCAGAGAGAGTAAGCGGTAAATACGGGCTGCTCGGTGAAGTACTGGCTGTCCAGATCCTAACAGCAGCAAACCGGAGCATAAAGATGATAAACAGACAGACGGGGGCCGAGATGTTCTCTAAAACATCTCTACACCACACAAATCTACTCATTTCTGTTCCTGTTGCAAAGCTCAGTGTCGGAGCAATGGCGGCAACGCCTGCAAGGTTCTGCTGATGGACAGCAACCACTTCTGTCGAACAAATCATTACAAGAAACAAAGCTGTAACAGTGTAGATCTGGGGTAAAATTTTACGCAGGGTTGATTCCTTAAGAACAATTTCAACCACGCTAAAGTTGAAACACAAACACGAGGAAAACATCCGATGTCACGGTCACTTTTTTTTTCCCCCAGACACGCGTGCCTCCAGGTGAGGCTTTCTTAGAAACTCGGTGGAAATTTCCCCGTAAATGTCAGCGGTGAAAGCCGACGAACGTCTGCGAGAGGCTCCTGTCTGTCATCATCTTTTTACGCTTTTAACTCAGCATTGTGTGATTCACTCCAGGCGGCCGTAGATAAGGGAGGAAAATATTAGTCCAAGAAAATGTCATACTGTTCGGGGAACTCAGCAGCTTCAGGGCGTAAGGGCATTAAAGGACCGTCTGGTTTCCTCGTACGTGTCTCATCCAAAAACATGTAATGAGAGAGACTTTTGTTCTCCTCTGTTGAATCACCAAATAGATTTCAAGAGTTGTAGGAAAACTAAAGAAAAGGAAGTGAGAAATCTGGCAACAAAGCAAGAACAAATAATTTCTCGTCAATTCATATAAGAAAATAATTAAAAAATGAAAATATTTTTCTCTTTTTGAAAGATATTTATGAAGCGCCGTTTCCTTTCAGAGGCAGAAGATCGAAAGCATTTGGTAGAGGAGCAGCACCTCTATCACTTGACGCACAAAAATATAATAACGGCAGCTGTGCGAGTGATCAGAGTGAATAAAACCAGGCCAATGTAACATAATGACTAATTGTGAAGGGGACGAGAAAGAGCACGTGTTTTTCACTATTTTTTCTTTTAATAATTAAAATCTTAAATGTTTTCGGCATATATTTGCATTTAACCTCAAAATCTAATCCAGGACTTTTACTGTGCCACTCCATCATAGAAAAATACTTTGATTTAATCTATCCCAGCGTAGCTCTGACTGCATGTCGAAGGTCGTCGTCGCACCTCCGTGTGAAATCTTTTGCAACCTCCAACAGGTTGTTTTCCTTGACCTCCCTGCTTTTATCCATTCCATGATTAACTGGACAAAGAACATCGCCTCAGCATGCTGCTGTCGCCATGGGGATGATATGTTTTCATCATGATGTCCAGTGTTACGTTTCTGCTAAACATCAAAGTGTTTGCAAAAACATGTCAGACATTAACATTGTCCAACAAAGAACGAAGGAAACTGGTTCAATTAGGTTTTAGTTAGAGGAGTCAGTGGGGTTAAATATGAATGCAAGCCACACTTTTCAGATATTTATGTAAAAATTAACATTGAAGACTGTATTTTCCCTCTATTTGACAGTAATGCACTATTTTGTGCTCATCTATTACACAAAATTGTAATAAAACACATTAATGTTTCGGTTTGTAACGTAGCTATATTAACAAATAATAATAAAACCGTATTAATGCAGGGCACAGGAAGCTCCACAGCAAACAATTCTTTACTTATTTGTCCGCTCAGCAGTTGGTTTTGTGGTTTCTCCTCTGAAAAAGGTCATCTGCAAATCTCTTCGCATCACCAAAGGTCATCCTGATCTTTCTCATAAAAATGGAGCAAAAAAAAAATAAGCAAAGATTTTCCTAACAGGAGCGAGACCGCAGCCATTTTCAAATTGGCTCCTAGGAAAACCCCTCATATGAATTCAGAAAGTCTTCCACCTGAGCCACCTTGAAAAGAATTTCACACTTTGATCCGATAGTGTCTGCACAAAAAAAATAAAATAAACCTCTGTGTGTGTGTGTGTGTGAGAGAAAATCCCCCCGTTTACCCTTTTCTGCTCTCTCCAGAGGCTGCGGAGTTTCTCATCCAGCCGCCGGGCGGAGGAGGCCCACTGCGCCGACAGCCTGCGTATGCGTCTCCTCATGAAGCTCAGGGACTCCTTTCCGGTTCCCACCTGCTCCAGCAGACTGCCGATGTCGGACTGGAAAACAGCCTGGATGAAGGAGCAGGAAGAACAATGTGAGCGCAGAGACGCTCCTGTGAAAAGTTGGTGTGTAAAATTTAAAGACGTCCGTCTGTGTAAAGCTGGAGCCTTAAGAGTGTACGCCCAAAGCAGAACAGAACGGACGCCAAAAGACAGAAGTGACAGGATGAGTCTGTTCTCTTTGAGAGAGATGTTTTCTTTTATTGGAGGCGGCTAAAACTCCAGCAGTGCAGACAGCATGCCAAATTGTGTTATGTGCTTGTACCCTGGGGGAAGGCTTTTCCAGCTGGAAGCCTGAGGGAATCCCAGGTTTTACCTCATAAACAGCCTGTCCACATTTCCCCCCTTTGTGTCAGTCCTGCATCGCAGCACAACATCTCCGTGTGAAGGGAAAACATTTCCTCTAACGGGTGCCAAAAACGCGTTCTCTATTAGGAAATGTAAATTCTTGCGAAGGCATTGTACGCTGCCGTCACAGATGTTTTTCCATCGCTCCCAAGAGTGCCTTGTGTACGGCTCAGTAAGACGTGGAACACCTTAAGGAAAACCTTTGGGATTTATCCCTGAGGAAGCAGGCCAGCAATTAGAGCAGAAAGAGGAGCTTCAAGGGGAATTAACATCAGTTCCCAACGTGGCAGCTGAACGTAAGGCTGAGGGGGGAAAACAAGGAGGAGGAGACGGAGGTGAGAGCTGGGGAGGCCCTCGCGGAGTGACGGTGTCGGGTCAGAGCATCATGTTGTTGATGCAGAAAATACGGTGATTAAACGAGACAGAAAATCAGCTGATGGTGAAAACTGGAGGTGACAGCCAGGTATCTATGAGGAAAAACAGCTGCCTTCCTGCACTGTCTATGTCAGGAGTTGGGGTTTTTGTTTTGCCTTTTTTTTCTGTTCCTATGGCTTGCCATCACCAC